ATTAATATCAGACAGAATCAATGTTTAGGTGAGATAGTTACAATAGTTTAAAAAAGATCACTTTCCAAAGACAGAATCTTGGATTAACTGGGAAGATGTAAAAATTCTAAATCTGTATGTTCCTAACAATATCATCTCGAAGTATATTAAATAAAAGTTTGACAGAATGATAAGGGGATATGGAAAAATCCAACTCATAATGGGAGATTTTAAAACAACTCTTAGTAAATGTTGGAAAATGCAGCCAAAAGATAGTCTGTGATGTACAGAAAATTTGAGCAGTACATGATCTAGGTGACATTTCTTGAACATCGCCTGTAAACTTGTACCCCTTCTTTGTATGACATAAAGTAATGAAGCGATGCTAGGCTAAAAAAACTGAACTTGAAGGGTATCAGAGGATTGAGGCCTTTCAGACTTCCCTCTGACTATAATGCAATATAGTTAGAAATCAGTAACAAAAACATAACTAGGGAACACAATATATTTTTGAAAATATTACTTTTTAAAAAATTCTAAGCTCCTCATGAGTCAAAGTAGAAATCATGGTAGAAATTGGTAAGTAAATAGAACTGAAAGAAGATGAACATACAATATACCAAAAGATGTAAAATTTCACTAAAATGGTATGAACAGAAAATGTATATAGTTAGAAAAGCAGAAAATCTGGAGAGCTGAGCATTAATTTAAGAAGTTATAGAAAGAACATCAGGATAAACCCAAGGAAAGTAGAAGGACATAAAGACATGAGCAGAAATTAACAAAACAGAAAACAATTTGTATAATGGATAAGCACTCACAACTGATTCTTCGATTAGTCTCTAACAGATTGCCAAGAAAGATGTACACAGATGCATCAGAATTCAAATAAATAATAATAAAATATTATGAACAAGTTTGCCAGTAAATTTGAAAACAAATAAAATGGGTAGGTTTCTAATAAAATACAAATTGACAATATCTGCTTAGGAAGACATAGAAAACCTGAATATCCTTTATCCCTTAAGGAAAGAAATTAATAATTTAAAATCTTCTGACCAAAAAAAAAAAAAAAAGTATTCATTTTAGTTTTAGAGAAATCCTCCCCCTCCTTCCTCCCCCATTCAAAAAAAAAAAAAAAACAAACCAGAAACACAAGGCCCAGATGGTATGTTAGGGGAGTTTTACCAAACTTTCAATAATAATTTATGCTTAAAATATAAAAGAATAGAAAAAAAATAGAGGGCACTTCCTAAATCCAGTAAAAGATACAATTATCAAATTTTAGAGAAAAATATATGTTCTCTAAACATATGTCTGTGACCTTAAGAAAGTGAGAACAATTTCTTAAGCAAGACAAAATGTGCCCCATTATAATGGAGAGAGTCACTGAAAATTCACATCCGTTAAAATGAAGAATTTAGATCTGCATTACCACTTCAGAAGATATATTGACATTACCTCATAAATTGAAACATAATTTATTCCTGAACCTGAAATTTCACTCTAATGTATATATGGTTAAAAGACTTGAGAGTATCAGAAGACATGTATAAAACTGTACATAGAAAGAGTTCTAATCACTGAAACTAGGAACAACCCAAAGGCCCAACTGACATAGATACATAAAATGGCATAATCTCACAGTGGAACATGATACAACAGCTACAAGGAACAACCATGCCACACGCATCCACATGGAAGTTTCAAAGGCATACTGTGGACATTGATGCAAATCACAGAAGACTTCATTCAGGATGGTTCCATTTACATAAAGCTTAAAAAACTAAAAAGACAATTGGGATGTACACAGGTCACATTTTGTTGATTCTAAAATATACTTTTTCATATTTTAACCTCTCTAAAATTAGGATGCATCTTATAATTTATGGTGTTTTGTAATTACCCTTAGGAGTAATTTCCCTTTCTTAGACATGAAATAATGATGCATCTCACAATTGGTGAGGACTTAGGTTCAATGAAATATGGTAAAACTAAAGAAAAGCAACAGAATGATGAATGCAAAATTTGGGAGCATGAGACCTATGTCAAGGAGAGAGGGGCCTGAGGAACAGAAGAGGAACCCAGGAGAATTCTAAAGAATTGGCAAAATGTTTTGTTTTCTTACCTAGATATTGAGTATATTGGTATTTGTTTTACTATAATTCTTCAAACAGTTGAGACCTTCACATGTATGATACTTTTCACAATGAAAAAAGTGTGAAGAAGTGAGGAAATGGAGACATGTATAATTGAGGAAGCTGGAGAGAGAAAGGGGAGAAGAGATGCAGGTGATGATTGGGGGAGGGTGCAGAGGATGCTCCAGGAAAGACGTGGGAAGATGGCCCCAAGATGCCAGGAGGCTTCAGCCCATCACACATGGAGATAGCAGGAGAAAGATCTCTTCCTACACTACAGCAAGAGTGACAAAAGGAAAAGGTGGGCTTATGGAACATATGGAGTGTTACGGGTATGTTTTCCTTGTGATGATTTTTAATTTCTTAATGAAGGATTTATCTATGGGGTGGCAGTAGTTATCAGGAATGGCAGAGGTGGACAATAGGCATCTAAAATGCTAAACATTTATTCAAGGGTTACATGCCAGTTTTAGACAAATAGCCTTTTATATCCATTGTTCTCTTTATCCCCCCCCCCAAAGTGGTGAGGTATATGTTCTCTTATGATATATTTAGTTTCCCAGGGTCACCATAACAAGATACCATTGACTTAAACAGCATAACTTAAACAACAGAAAATTGTTTTCTCACAATCTGGAGGCTACAAGTCCAAGATCCAGGTGCCAGCTGGTTTCTCCTGAGGCTGCTCCACAATCTTCAGGTGGTCATTTGTTTGCACCCCCGTCCACTGTGTCTCTTCTTTTTTCTAAGAACATCAGTCTTATTGAATTAGGACCCCACCCTAATAGCCCCTAGCTCTGAAGCCCCTAGTTCTAAATACAGTTGCATTCTGAGGTATTGGGGGTTAGGGCTTCAACATATGAAATTTGGGGGGGACACAATCCAGCCCATAACAATGCCCACAAAATAATGGAGATTTAGAGAGGTTGAACAGCTTGCCAAGGGCATGCAGTTAGTTTCAGAAGTGGGATATGAATGCAAGCAGATCAACTGCAATCTCTGAATGCCAACCATTCCACTAAAAAAATAGTTGGGGGACACCTGAAGAGTGGAGGTGAATGAAAAAGGGCTTCGGGAGAATTTTAAAAAAAAAAAAAAACTGACCTGAAATAAAAGAGTAATATTATGAGATTTCTCAGAGCTCTGTAATCTATCCCAGGAAATGAAATAGATGGACGATCCTTTCATAGACTCCGTTTCTAAATTTGAGCTTTAACCAGAAAGACGGTCATTTTTTTGGCTAAAATGGCAGGAAAAGAACAATTCAGCATCAGCTGAAGTCCTCTCTCCTCGGTTCCCTTTTTGCAGAGGCCAGTTTAAATTATGGGCCGAGAGGGGCGACACCTGCTGGGCTCTGCGCTGTATGGGTGGGAACCTGGCTCTTTTGATATGCAGTCCCCCACTGCTCTCTGCTGGCCAGTAGTAGGAACACTCGGGAATGTGCACATAGCTGTACTTTCTTCAAAAAAAAACCAAAAAAACAAAAAACCACAAAACTGTAGGGAAAGGTGGGAAGAATCTACTGGAATCACGCTATGGAGTATGTCAGTCCCATTCCTTTCCATACACATACATACACTTCAGTTCAATGGTACAATCAATTTTCACTTTTTAGAATTCTGTGACTGTTTTAAAACTTGCATCAGCTGTTTCCATCATTAAACAAATTTATCTGCCACCTTCTCAAAAATGATGTTTCTCAAGAATATGAGAATTCAAATGCAGAATAACCAATAAAATATTGGTTTGCTCGTAATTTCATGTTTTTCAAAACTATAAACTAATGGTATGCTTGTTCAGTATTTTAAAACCATGATTTCCAATGTGACAGTGCAAGGACCCCACTACTTGCTTACAGCATTTTTGTAAAAATAATTGTATCATTTTCAAACATGACTTTTCTTTAAAAAAAAATCAGTCATTTATGCTTTTAGAAATTATATATCTGGGGGAAATGTTCTAAGTAATAAGGGATTCCCTTGAGTTGAGAAGCATAAATGAGTTCCAGAAGAAACTGTGAATCCCCCAAGAACTCCTAGTCTGTGTGTTTCACAGGATGTGTGGCCTTGATGAACTCAAGAGTACTGGAGTGGGTTGCCGTTTCCTTCTCCAGGGGATCTTCCCAACCCAGGGATTGAACCCAGGTCTCCCGCATTGTGGGCAGATGCTTTACCATCTGAGCCACCAGGGAAGGCCTTGATGACCTCAATGAAATTCAAATACGTGGGCTCAAGGGTCTTCAGGGCCCCATCCTAGTGTGGGTCCCCAGACTCCCTTGATACAGTTTCTAGAATGAACATTCAAAATGCAAATCAAGTCATAATACCTTTTGCTTCTGGAGAGGTCAAATGTCACACCTCTGATTTTAAAGTAAAATACAAATTCCTTACCAGCTTTACAAGGCCAAGTGATCTGACTCGTGCCAGCCCCTCCAAGTCTGCCCCTGGCCCCCTTTTCTTCCCTTTCAGCTGTTCGAAATTTCATCCTTCAAGGATCTCTCTGTGGCTCTATTTCAGTATTCTGTTTCTTTCCTTTGGGGTATTTGCAACCATCTGTAATAATCACATTTATTTATCAGGTGTTCATTTCCTGTCTCTACCATTAGGTGTCATCTGCATCAGGTGAGTCCTCATCTATCTTGCTTCACTGCATCCCCAGTACCTAATGAACATATATTTACCACTGAACAAGTAAATAAACCAAGTGAGCAAAGGAAGGAACTGAGAGGGGAATGACACCAAAGTCATTCCCTGCAGATCACAGTACTGAGTTCCTTCCATAAGGAGAAGTCCCACCCCTGACCACAGCGTGGGAAGCCGGCACTGGGGTCACTGCACTTTCACCTTTGACTCCATTACTCATCAAAGCCACAGGAGAGTGAGGTCAAACTTGAATGAAGTGTCCAAGAATGTTCCAGGCCAGGCAGCATCAGGGCAGGCTGATCTGGGGGTCTTTCAGGAAGAAGGCCAATGTCTGGGCCAGGGCGTCCAGCTCGCGTGAACTGGCATACTGCAGGAGGTTGCTCTTCCGCACGAAGTAATGCTTGAGGAAATGCTGACTCACGCACTTGTGCAGCTTCCTCACCAGGCGCAGGAACCCCCTGCTGAAGACCTGCCAGTCCTTGGGATTGGGGTACTTCTCACAAGTCCAGAAGAGCACCGTCTGCGGAAGCAAGAGGTGGTGTCTGACATCGTCCTGGGCCACTGAGGAGGGTGTCTTCAGGAGCCACGTGAACTCAGGAGGAGGAGACAGGAGCACCTGGGTTCTAACAGTGGATTCAGGATCCCTAGCCTCCTCCTCCTGGTCTCCCTGCCTCTTTGCTACTTTCTCCTCTGACTTCCTTACCTGTTGTCACTTGGCCATCTGAAAGTTATCTCAGTCCATATGAGGATGAGATGGTTAGATGGTATCACCAACTCAGTGGACATGAATTTGAGCAAACTCTGGGAGATAGTGGAAGACAGAGGAGCCTGGCATGCTACAGTCCACAGGGTCATGAAGAGCTGGATATGACTTAGCAACTGAACAAAAACAACAACAGGTCCAAACTGAACTCCTGGGCCTCCCTCATGTACCTGGTGTACTTCCAGGGTTGTTTATTCAGTCTGTTATGCAAGATAGAAACCTAGGAGCCAAGCCCCTCCCTTACCACCTCCTATCGAGTCCTGCCAATCCTCCTGCCTATGTATTTCTCAATCCACCCACTTACCTTCATCACTGATATTATCATCCTCTGACACAGCCTGCACCTCTTCTAGTCACCATCCTATCTATTGCCATCCATATTGTATCCAACGTGATCTTTTTGGAATATCAATCTATGTTTCTTCTTGTCTAAAATACTTCAAAGTCTTCCCATCGCTTGTTAATTAAAAGATACAATTGTTAGCATGGTTTGGTTGACAAGGCGTGGTCCCCGCTTTCTTTTCCAGTCTCACCCTCTGTTCTCCCTCCCTCTCTCCTTCTATCCACGCTGGCCTCATTTCACGCTCTCTTGTACCACAGGGCCTTGCACAACCCACTTCTGTATGGAGCATTCTTCCTTCCCGACTTGTCCAGGAAACTCATTCTTCAGCTTAGACTTCCCTGTGACACTCTCTTCGTCACATTCTTTTCATTTATTCACCACATTCTCATCATTTCAGCAGCAATACTGACAGTCATGGTCGTTTTCCTGTGTGTTTATGTGTATTACTAGACGGCAAGGGCTTCCCAGGCGGCTCAGTGGTAAAGAACCCACCTGCCAATACAGGAGATGCAGGAGACTGTGGGCTCGACCCCAGGGTGGGAAAGAGCCCCTGGAGAAGGAAATGGCAACCCACTCCAGTATTCTGGCCTGGAAAATCTCATGGACAGAGGAGCCTGGTGGGCTACAGTCTATGGGGTCACAAAGTGTAGGACATGACTAGTGACTAAACAGCAAGTGGATGTCAAACTCCATGTGAGTAGAGAACAAGACCTATTTGTATTCACACTGACATTACTAGCATTCAACAGAGGGACTGGCCCATGAGAGGTAGTTAGTAAACATTTTTTGACTGAGTGAAATAATGAATTAATGTTTGGGTTTAGATACTGAGTATTTTTAAAATATAGTCTTTACTAAAAAGTAAAAGAGCTGTTTTAGGTTCACAGCAAGATCCTGAGTGTGTTTTGATTTAGAAGACATTGTTTTGAGTAAATGAGTTGGAGATAATTTCATGCTAGTCAAGATAACCTAGATACAAAAACATGTTTTAACTCCTCTTGTAGTTAAGCTTTTATCTCCCTATGCAAACAGAAGCACTTAAACCTATTATAAGCAAGCCTCTGTGCCTTTGAGCAGGTTTAAACATAAATAAGCCAATGAAAGATAAGTTCTTTCTTCAGTTGAAATTGCTATGGGGGAGGGACTTCTCTAGTGGTCCATTGGTTAAGGTTCCATGCTTCCAATGCAGGGGGCATGTGTTTGACCCCTGGTCAGGGAATTAACATTCTACATGATGTGAGGCAAGACAAAAAAAAAAAAAAAAAAAAAACTTCAAAATCAAACATATCATCAAAGGTGGTGAATTAAGCACTTTGAAATAAACCTTCTCAGTNATGTAACAATCTTCTATGAGGTGACCAAGATTAGCACATCCTTCCTGATGCTGTTTTGCAACCCAGTCTCTTCCACTTTCCCCGGACTAAAACCTTGGCAAGGATCCTACACACTCAAGCCATCATCCAGGGTGGTGTTTAATAGCACATTGCCATCAGTCAAGTCCATCCCAGTGTCTGCACATGAGAGAATTCTGCCCTTTGAGCAAGAGTGGAAGACAAGAGGAAAAGGCAGTCAGTACTGTTTTGATTTCTCAACAAACAACCCCATCCCCTTTTAAATGCCCACTCTTAAGAATGTACAATTTTATTATGCCATGCAGGTGGGCTAGGGAAGACTAAAACAGAAGACATTTAAGGAGTTGCCCTGAAATCCTCTAGATGAGTTAGAAGTCACTGGAATACAAGTAAATCCTGGCTGGAATGCAGCTTTGTGAGCAGTCAAGGGCAGGAAGACCCCTGGTGGCCCTATTCAATCTTCCTAAAACACTCATGCTATTTAAAGTATTTCCATTCAGCCTGATTATGGAGCAATGAAGTCAGTGGTTTGTTAAGAGTATGAGCTTTGATATGAGACAGCCAAAGGTTTCCTTCTCAGCTCCAACTCTTCCTAGCGTAGCCTGTGGAAAGGTATGTAAGAAAGAAGCTAAATCCCCCAAGTGAATTAGACTAACTTCAGAAAATATGCATCCTCGATCCAGGAGAATAGATGTATGTTTTTAGGGGGACATGCTTGGGGACACTTTAGGAATGCTGAAACAGAAGAGGAATGCCTCGCTATGTGCAAATGAGATGTTAACAGATTCTCAGGCAGGACAGGGAAAACAGGTTATCAGAAAAGATAGAAAGCAAAGCAAAAAGTAGTGATTCTGCAGGGGGGAAAAGGGGTGAAATGTAAGGTCATTCATAACCATGAGCAGCAAGTATTTACTGAGCAACTACTATGTATGAAGCATTGGGAGAGATACAAAGGGTTTGGTACTAGCTGCCCTTCAATAGCTTGTGTTGGGAGTGAAGGAGTAACACAGGACTAGAAAACAGTTATCCACTGGATGAGACGGGGCACAGACAGGAGCGTGCAGAAGGGCACAGCACACCCCAGGGACTTGCGCTTTCCTGTGTAGAAGGTCAGGGAGAAGGGCTGATGCTCTGAGATGGATAACAGCTGGGCTGGGGCTGTGCCGTCTGTAAGAGTCGGAGACCTCCACCCTCAGTGTGATGCACACAGTATTATAGGAGCATCCAGTTCACCAAGTGTGGTTGGAACTTTGAGAAAGAGGAGTTGAGAGTGTGATCAAAAGCCATCTCCCCAGGGTGAGCCCCTAATCCTTGAATCCAGGTCAGGTTCTGCTGCCCTGCATCCTCCTAGAGCAATGTTCCTCTCCTTCCCAGTATTCCCCCCATGGCACGGTTCGACATACATTTGTAGACTGTTGACCAACATCGGTCTCCCTTGCTAGACAACAAGCTACACAAGAGCAAGACCACGTTGTGCTTGTTCAGCTTGCACCTCCATGTGTAGAGCACACAGCAGGTGCGGGGGGCAGGTGACTGGCCCACAGACATCTCAATAAACATTTGCTGGGTGAATGAATGTGTGAGTGAATGAGTGCATGCATTCATAACTGTCTAATGCTAAATCCTTGCCAGGGACCTCCCTGGTGGTCCAGTGGTAAAGAATCTGCTTGCCAATGCAGGGGACATGGGTTTGATTCCTGAGCTGGGAAGATTCCATAGGCCTCAGAGTAACTAAGCCCGAGCACCACAACTACTGAGCCCATGCCCTAGAGCCTCTGCTCCTCAACAAGAGAAGCCACTGCAGCGAGAAGAATAGTCCCAGCTCACCAGAACTAGAGAAACCCACGTGCAGCAACAAAAACCCCTGGCCGTCAAAAATAAATAATTAAAAAAAAAAAATCCTTGCCAGGTGATTTTCAACCTGGAAGTTCAGGTTTGCTGCCATGTTCGTGGGGTAGCCCCAACATTTCCTGGTTTCCTCCTCTGTGCAAAGTGTGTGTGTGTGTGTGTGTGTGTGTGTGTGTGTGCGCGCGCGCGCATGCGTGCAGGCACACGAGTGGCTGCACCTGGGCTAGAGTGGAGACTGAATGCATGATAACATGAGGGAAAATGTGAATCCACCTGAGGTCTGAGCCCCTCACAAGATCTCACCAGACTGTAGACTTCTCAGGGGTAGAGAATGCATGCTGTAATTCATTTCTGAACCTCAGCAGGGTTTCTGGCATAAAGTGGGCACTTGGGTTGGTTTGTTGAGTGAAATAGTGGGGGAGAGAGGGAGACAGAGGAGGCAAGACAGAAAGGGAGTAAGAGAAGAGGGGAACCGGAAGAGGGAAGGGAGGAGGCGGAAGGAGGAGGCAGAAGACAGGAACTCTGGGCAGGGCTGCTGTGGGCCCGCAGCGGGGCTGGGTTTCCACACTCACAGACACACACACACTGCAGAGAGACCCACCCCGCCCCAGCCCTTCTGCGCTGGGGCCACCCCCTCACCTGCAGGTGGTAGGACGTGATCACAGGCCGTGTCCCGGGACACCAGACGTCCTCCTTCATCTGCCTCAGGGCCTGAAAGCACTTCCGGCGGCAGCCCCCGTCCTCATCCAGCTGCTCCAGCAGCACCTGCTCTGCCCGCAAGAAGCTCAGCTGCCAGTGATAGCTTGAACAGGCCAGCAAGCTGAACCCGAATGACTGGGAGGGAGAGAAACACCGCGGGAAGTGAGAAGGGTGGGCTGGTCCAGGAGAAAGCCATCTCCGAAGCAGCCCACTAGGGTGAGGGCCCTGTCAGTGGGCAGGCAGCACGCCCACGTGGGGACACCGAGGGAGCCTCCGGGCCAGCCCCATGCACGTGGGCAGTTCACGGGGAAGGCTGTGCCCACTTTCTCTCGGGCAGCATTCTCCAACTTGAGCCTGCCCCAGAATCACCTGGAGGCCTCATGAGAACACAGACTGCTGGGCCCTGCCTCCCGTGTCTCTTCAGCATGGGCCAGAGTGGGGCCCAGGAATCTGCATTTGTAACAGGTTCCCAAGTGCCCCTGCAGGTTCTGGGGATCTAGTGAAATCTCAGTTATCCTTCCAAAGCTGGATGGTGGCGAATGATGCCGTGGGTGGTTAAGCTGAGAGCGCCTCTGGTGAGCCAGGTCCCTGCAGGATGATACCTTGATGCACTGCACTGTCTCTGGAGAAGGCCAGCGCTTCAGACACGAAGGCCACTGGGCTTTCTTGGACCAGGCGGTGGGGATGTCCACTGAGGGGGTCAGCTGTAGTTCCACCTGACCCGCAGAGGTTTCCACAACAACTCGAACTACAAGATGGTCTATTAGCATGCGGACCCTGCCTGGTGGTAAATGACAGACAGACAATGAGAAGACAAATAATGGTTCAATACCAGCATTTGAAGAAGGAATTTGTGAGCTGTGGCTTGGACCAGCCCCTTGTAACTGGTGGAGCAACTTTCAGAATTTCATTAGCACCCCCAAGGTGGCATGTTTAGGTCAAAGTAAAAGTGTTCGTGGCTCAGTTGTGTCTGACTCTGCAACCCCATGGACTGAAGCCCACCAGGCTCCTCTGTCCATGGAATTCTCCAGCAAGAATATTGCAGTGGATTGCTGTTCCCTTCTCTGGGCAATCTTCCTGACCCAGGGATTGAACCCAGATCTCCTGCACTGCAGGCAGATTCTTTCCCATCTGAGCCACCAGGAAAGCCCATGTTTATGTCAACATGAGACAATTAGCTAAGTAAATACTGACAGAAACATTACTAGAAAATCTCACTGTTGGCGAGGTTTTCTTTTCTCCTTCATCCTCTCCCCCCAAGGTTTTATCGTACCTTTTCTAAAAAAGCAGTTGACTCTTTCCAGAAGGCTCAACTGAGACATAGAATACAAGGAAAAGGAATAGTTTTTGCTACTGTAAGATGAAACCCAAGCATTTTTCTATAACCCAGGTGTCCAGCCACATTGAGGATACCCTCAGACCCCTGACTTATTCATTTGCCTTTGGTGGAGTTCAGCTTAACCTGTCTCAACCCAGTCCCAGTCTCAGGGATGGTATTTGTTCCCACCACCCATTAACTAGCCCAGCTTTGGAGGGATTTATCACCATAAGCCTTGTAATCATAAAATACTTCCAAGTGTGTCATAGCCACTGGCTTAAAGGGTTAAACGGGCAGAAAGAAGCCCTTCTTGTCTTTTCCAACCGAGCAAAGAGAGAGAGAGAAAAGGAATGGGTCTGGGGATGTTTTCCAGTTGGTAGACTAGAATTCATTTCTAATCTGTTTCCCCTTTCTTTCAAAAGATTAAACGGTAGTTTTTTGGTTTGTTTGTTTGCTTGCCTTCATTATAGATAAGGATGAGCCATCTTGAATCGAAATCTATTATTTTGTTTTTCCTTGCTCAAAGAAGGAAATGAAAACTCATTCATTAATTGTGTTAGGTTGTTCAAAAGGAAAACACTCCTCTCCTTGACTGGGGTGTGATAAAGAGCTTACTGTCTGTATCTCATCAGAGTCGCCCAGACAGGAACATGACAACGTCTGGCACTTCAGCGTTATTTACTGAAAGCACCTCATCAACCTGGCCCAGTTTGAATCTCTCATTTGCTCTTTCACTATTAACAGTGTTGAGTACAGAGTGAGGAGGGAAGCAAACGTGTTGGCTCCAGCCTGCCTGGTCCACACCTGGCTTCTGCAGCTCTGCTTATTTGGTGTGTGAAATTTGGCCTATTACTTGATCCCTCTGAATCTCAGTTTCTTGTTTGTAGAACAGTTAGAAAAATGATCCTAACTCTAACAGGATTGCCAACAGTATTAAATTAAATAATCCATGAAAGCATCCTCCACATTGTAAGAAACTATTCAACATGAACTATCTCCATTACAGAATCTTTCAGAACTATTCTGTCTAGACAAGCAAAAGTACATGCAAATCTTTTGCTTTCTGCACAAATGGAGTTTCGTATTGTTCAGCAGTTTGGTTTTTCACTTAACGATGTTGCACGAATGGAAATCAGTTCTGAATATTCATGGGAAGGACTGTTGTTGAAGCTGAAACTCCAATACTTTGGCCACCTGATGCAAAGAGCTGACTCATTTGAAAAGACCATGATGCTGGGAAAGATTGAAGGTGGGAGGAGAAGGGGACGACAGAGGATGGGATGATTGGATGGCATCACCAACTCAATGGACATGAGTTCGAGTAAACTCTGGGAGTTGGTGATGGACAGGGAGGCCTGGTGTGCTGCAGTCCATGAGGTCGCAAAGAGTCAGACATGACTGAGCGACTGAACTGATGTTGCACGGGAATTTTTTCTCTCCATTAGTGAGAAATACATGCAAAATGCAAAAGTCAACAAAGTATTTTAAAAGGGAAATTAAAAGGAGGGATTTCCATTAAAGTCATATATTGGATTGGATATGTCCAAACCCACGCCCTCTAAGACATAAAAGTTTAAAAGCATTATTTGCAAGTAAGGAAAGAGACTGCCAGAAAGTAGGAGACTCATATGAAACTAGCAATGAAGCAAGAACATCTATCCAGGAAAGTACTAAGTGGGAGAATTGCTAAAATACCCTGATGGCATTAACCCTTAGTACTTATAGCTTCTGTGTATAGAAACAGCACAGAGAGGCAGAGAGGGGGATCTAATGGGCCAAGGCTAGGTGCTGAGCCTCACAAGCCTGGAGCCAGGAAAAGCTGTATCTTGAGGAACATTAGGAACTAAGAGAAATAGGTTTTTCTTGTGGGCTCTGGGTAGCTGATTCAATATAAAACACAACAGCAATAAAAAGCAGGATTTTCCCTCCTCCCTAGAATTTCAAAGGCATTAGTCACCCTCCTGTGTTTAGGGCCTGAATGTTTCCATCCCAAAATCATCCAGGTAAGGTGGAACTTCTGGGAGTACCAGGAAAAATCAAACATAAGCCTTCTTGGAAAAACATACCCCAGCACACTCATAGAGCGTGAATAATATCGCCTAGACAGATGATATGAGTCAGTCCCATATTAACAAAATTTTATTATTTTCAAAAGCTGCATAGTAGTCCACTAGGCAGATGTAGCATAATTTATGCAGCCAGTGTTCCTTTGTTAGCCACCAGATGATTTCTGATTACTTACTATTACCAAGCCTATTTCGCTGAATATCTTTGTGCTTATTTCTTTGTGTATCTGTAAGAATGTATTTTAGAACTGGAATTGTTGAATTGCCAAGTAAGCACATTACAAATATAAAAACCCTTTTAAAAAAATGGGGGCATCAATATACACTTCCTAGAATAATGCATGAAAAATGCCTATTTAACCATACTCACCCTGCACTGAACAAAATTGTAGGTTTTCATCTCTCAACCTACCAGGTGTTTTAAATGTACATTTCTTAAAATATATGTTAAGTGGGACAATTAAAAAATTTTACTAGCCTTTTGTTTTTTTTTCTGTGAATCATGTTTTTTGGTCAGTATTTCTATTGGTCTGCTCACAGATTTTCTTGTTGGTTTATAAATACACTTTTATAATTAAGGAAATTAGCCATTTGCACAGTTTGAAACCCACCATTTTACTCTGTGTGAACAAAACGTGAATGGGGGCCTTCTCTGGTGGTCCAGTGGTAAAGACTCTGCCTGCCAAGGCAGAGAACACGAGTTTGATCCCTGGTCCAGGATGATCCTGCATGCTGCGGAACAACACTAAGCCCGTGTGTCACAACTGCTGAGTCCGAGTGCTGCAACTACTGAGTTCCTCATGCTCTAGAGTTGGTTCCACAACCAGAGGAGCCACCACAATGTGAAACCTGTGCACAGCAACTAGAGAGTAGCCCCCGCCTGCCACAGCTAGGAAAAAACCCGTGGGCAGCAACAAAGACCCAGCACAGCCAAAAATAAATTAATTTCAAAAAATATGTGTGTGGGCAGGTGTGCACATATGCTACACTGAACTCTAGCTTAGGATTTGGGGGTTGTGAGAAAGCTACAATTCAAAGAGATTCATGCACACCAAAGTTCATTGCAGCATTATTTACAATAGCCAAGACATGGAAGCAACCTAAATGTCCGTCAACAGATGAATGGATAATGAAGATGTATATATATGTCTATGTGTGTATATATACAATGAAATATTAGCCACCCATAAAAAAGAGGTTATTATACTAAAGTCAGAAAGGGAAAGATATGATATCACTTTTATGTGAAATTTAAAAAAGTATACAAAACAACTTATTTACAAAACAAAAATAAAACTATAGACATAGAAAAGAAACTTGGTTACCAAAGATGAAAGGGGCACACAGAGGGATAAATTAGGAGTTTGGGATTAGCATATACACACTACTATATAAAAAATAGGTTTAAAAAAAAATAGATAACCAGGGGGGCACTCTCTGTCCACCTTCTGATGTCTATGTCAGAAGATTTCTCTGTCCCTTTTCATAGTTTAATAAAACTCTGCTACACACGCACACACAAAATAAAATAGATAACCAACAAGGACCTACTGTATAGTACTGGGAACGATACTCAATATTTTGTAGTACCCTATAAGGGAAAAGAATCTGAAAGAGAAAAGACGCATATATACCTATAACTGAACCATATTGCTATACACCTGAAACTAACACAACATTGTAAATCAACTATACTTCAATAAAAAAAGGAAAAAGAAAAGATTTTGTGGTTGTCAAACATAATCGGTTCCTTACAGCCTCTGGCTTTTGTGTTCTGGTGTAAGTCAGTGTTTCCCCAGCGTGCTGCCCCAGAACACGGGAGGCATACTGCAGGCAGTTGGAGGGTGTTGTGGTGAAAATGTGCTAATGACAAAGATCTGAGCTTTATGAGGAATTTGCTTGTTCGTGAAAGTACTCAGGTTTTGAAGCTAACATCTTGGAAAGGGTGCATAACCCAAAGACTGCCTTATCGGTGCCAGGGCAGGAATCGACTTAAGGCCACGAACGTGTGTTGTGAGCATAAATTCCATTCTGGGTGTCACACCAGGAAAAAAAAGAAGAGCTAATTCATGTAATGGGGATTAGGCAGATGTAAAAAGCACATGATTTTATCCTCAATTTAGGGGTGTGAGCTTCAGGAAGCACCCAAGCAGAGGACACTTTTTTTTTTCAGGGCAGAACGGAAATGCCAGACACTTTCCTTGTCCGCTCCCCCACTGGCTCACCTGAGAGGCGACAGGTCTCAATTGCGTTTTCGACCAGTTTCCGGAACACCTGGAGGACCTTGGCGGGCACGATGTCTCCCTCGATGTTCACGTCTGCCTCGCGCCACTGCCCCGGGCTCTTCAGGAACTGCCCCACCTCCAGCCACTGCTGCAGGCCCTCGGGGTCCTGCAGGGGGCGGGGCAGGCGGGCGCCCTTCAGGCTGTAGTAGCGCCAGCGCTGCTGCCGGGCCTCCTTGTACCCGGCCAGGCCTCTCGTCGGGACTGTGATGAGGAACAGGGAGGGAGCCAAGACCTGGGGTCAGGAAAGGGGAGAGCAGGGGTGTCAGCCCGTAGGCTCGGGAGGGGACGGAAGCCCCTGGGGAGCCGCCCTGCTGGCCCAGGCCACTCGGTGAACCACTCAACCCTCAGCAGTGTGACAAGGAGGACAGAACCGCGCCCACCTGCCCGCCTGTCGGCAGAGGATTCCATCTCTGTTGTGCCACTAGCCCATTGTAATGCTTCGGGCAAAGAAATTAACTCAGTGAGGCCTGGGTTTCATGGATCTGCAAGAAAAAGAGTGAAGTGGACCCAGAACTCTAGAGGCACCCGACATGTGGGGTGGGGTTGGGGTAGGGGAGAAAAAGCAGGGAGGGGAGCTAGTAGTCACTGCATTCTGCACATACCAAGCACTCCAATGCTTGTGCATTCGCCTATCTTGTGTTCACAGTCACACACGAGTTGGGCTTTGCTAACATTGACCAAATGAGGAACCTGAGGCTCAGAGGGGGTTCCAAGTCTCCCCAGGGACACACAGCCAGTCAGTGGTAGAGCTGGAGCCTGACCTTGGATCTTCTGATTGCTCATTCAGTGGTTAATTTTCTCTCCTGAGCTGGTTCTTGGTCAAGAATGAATGACCTGGGAGGACTTCCCTGGTAGTCCAGCGGCTAAGTCTCTGTGCTCCCAATGCAGGGGGCCCAGGTTCAATTCCTGGCCAGGGAACTAGATCCCTCATGTCGTAACTAAGAGCTTGCACGCTAAAGAACCCACATGCCACAACTAAGACCTGATGCAGTAAAAAAAAAAAAAAAAAAAAGAATGAATGACCTGGGATGGGTGAAAGATCTGATAATAAATTAAGGGTGGGAAGGTGTGGAAAGGAAGTGAAACCATTTTGCCAAATGCAGAACTTTTTGTACTTGGACTGATGATCCACAGACAGTTTTAATGACTAATCCTTACAGAATCACAGAAATGAAAATCTTTTGTTGGGACAATGTGAGTTACCCAGATGATTCTAAGTTAAATGGGAAAGAGGTGAACACTAAGAATCTATTTAACTCTATTTTTACAAGAACCAGGTAAGCAGCTGTCAAACCAATAGTCCGAGAGATAGAACACGATGCTAAGTGGTGTGGTACCACCAAAGGGAAATGACACTTTCATCACACAGCAGCCCACTCCACCCTGTATATTTCCCCATCACTCAGTTATACACTGGAGGAGCTACCTCCTTTCCATGGAAAGTTCTGACAATGGAATTGGATAACTTTTGCCCAGGGACCTGTCGGTGCGAATTCAGGGGTGAACACTGAAATCAGCAGCAACTGAATCTTCCTCATTCTCAGGGAACAGTAGTTTGATTCTTGAGATGATGGATCTGAAATGGAGCAGGAACCTATGGTCCTTGCCCCCCACCCCTGTCCTCTGCCTGCCTTTTGTCTGTGGAAAACTTTAGTCAAAGAGTAAGTTTAATCAGAGAAGTGAGACCATGTGGAAACAAAGGAAAACAGTCAAAGGAGATAAAATAATAATAACGTAGTCATGAGGCATGGTCAAGGACCTTTAGCTCCTCCTCAGGGGCTGTCGTTAATATTCTGAGTCGTATCCTTGAGATGTCTGACAGATACTGAAACCCCCACCAGCTGGAGAAGTTAACTACACGATGGCCAGACTATAGCCATGACATAAACTGCCTCAATCCCGAGAATTGGTCTCAAAGAAACAGAAACAAACTGACCCTGAAACTGAAGATTAACTGTACCTAAAACAACCAAGATGATGCTGGTCAGACCACCGATGACCAATCTGAAGATGACTGTCAGAGGTGACTGTGCTGTTTTGGCAAGTAGCCCCCTCCCTATCTATAAAAGCTCTCGCCCCTGATTGTCAGGTGGGGAGTCGGCCTTTAGACAGACATCCTCCCTCCGCCACCAGTTGCCGAATCTGAAATAAACTTTCCTTTCCACCAGTGTGGCCTGTTTATTGGCTTTTGACTGGTGAGCAGCCAGACCCCACAATTCAGTAACAGGTCACATGACTTCTGGTATCCTTTGAAATGTGGTAGGATTAAAACAAGGCAGGAGACCTTAACTATGACATTCAAAATCTACACATTTTTTTGAACCCACTTGCATGTGAATCCAAAAACACAAGTATCATGTTATTAGTCACATAAATGGTGCTTAATACATACTTATCAAATTTGGCCCAAGAGAAAATAAAAGCATATTTATATGCCCTGCTGTAACTATTTTTCAAAACTTAATGTATTATATAGGACACGATGTATATAAATGCAAGATGTATTTTAAGTTATGACTTCTAAGTGAGACCACAGCAGGAAATTTCCCCAGATACAGTTCTAGAAAAAGTGATGCTGTGTTTCTATTCATAGTCACTGGTCTATATTTGTCCTGTTCAGGTTGGCAGAGTGGTAGAGGTGGGCAGATGATGTTCTGACGTCCCAAGATCCAATCTAACTTTATAATTATCATCCTGGGGTAAATTTTCTAAAATCTGATACTGTCCCCAAATCCACAAGTCCCAGAGTCTCGTGGGTGGTCCTTGTACCCACCAAACTTGAAATGTACTGGACTGACTTCCCAGGTGGAGCTAGTGCTAAAGAACCTACCTTCCAACTCAGGAGACATAAGAGACTCGGGTTCAATCTATGGGCCAGGAAGATCCCCCCTGGAGTAGGACATGGCAACCTACTCCAGTATTCTTGCCTGGAGAATCCCACGGACAGAGGGGCCTGGTTGTCTACAGTCCACGGGGTCGCAAAGAGTCGGATACAACTGAAGCAACTTAGCAGAGCAATGGTTTTTCATTCAGGTACTAATTCTTTTGCTTACTCATTCATTCAGCAGAAGGTGAGTGTCTACCATGGGCCACCCACCATGCTGGGGACTATGAAGGGAACAAGCAAGAGACACGATCCCTATAAACAAGGAACTTACGGTCTTCTGTGAGAGCTGGGGCATGTGTACATGTAAGTTTACTACTTATATTAAAGCTTCCCTCGTAGTTCAGCTGGTAAAGAGTCCACCTGCAATGTGGGACCTGGGTTTGATCCCTGGAGAAGGGAATGGCTACCCACTCCAGTATTTTGGCCTGGAGAATTCCATGGACTGTATAGTACATGGGGTTGCAAAGAGTTGGACATGACTGAATGACTTTCACTTTCACTTATATTAAAGTATAATATAATTCTTTAATTCTTATGTGTCATAAGAAAAATCAAAATATAGAAGCATGGGGGGCTTCCCTCATGGCTCAGTGGTAAGACTCCATCTGTCAGTACAGGAGACACGGGTTTGATTCCCGATCGGGGAAGATCCAAAGGCTGTGGAACAACTAAGCTCTTGGGCCACAACTACTGAGCCATGCTCTAGAGCCCACATGCCGCAACTACTGAAGCCCTCACTCCCGGAGCCCCTGCTCCGCAAGAGATGCCATCGCGATGAGAAGCCCTTGCACCGCAACTAGAGAGTAGCCCCTGCTCGCCACAAGTAGGGAAGAGCCTAAGCAGCCACAAAGAGCCCGCACAGCCAGAAATACACACAATTTTAAAAAGGGTGCAGGGGGCGGGGGACGCGCAGGGATTCAGAATGATTCAGAGCCTTGTTTCTCTCATCTCGGAAAGGGAGCCAAGCATAATGCGTCTTCTCCTAGGCTGTGTGCTGCAGGTTTGGGTGCGATCTCTGAGCCTAGCTCTGCCCACACTGCAATGCCTCATGAATGCTGGTTGTCACAGAGGGGCCTGGGGCTCACCGTTCTGTGGGACTCCTCAGTAGGGACCGGGCTGCCAGGCGGCTCCTGCAATCTCTAAGGGCCGCCTCTTCCACTTTCTTTCTTCTCCGACCTGTAGCCCATCGTCTATCACTTTCAACTATTTTTCTCATCAATACCCTGAGTCCTCTCTCTACGCAGTGCCTAGTCTATTATGTGGGTGCTTAATAAATGAATGTGTGCTTCACTGAACTTTAGTCAGTACACTAGGACTTGCTTTGGGATCAGAAGCCCTGGGTGGAATTCTGGCTTTAGTGCCTAAAAGCCTTGATCAAGTCCTTTGACTTCTCCAAGCTTCCATTTCATCATCTGTTAAGTAGGAATGTGGGGCCTCAACTGCGGCAACATCTATGCAATGAGTGTGCAGATGGTAAATACTAGGAAGCCTTATTGGTACTCTTAGTGGTGTGAGTGCCTGACACATACTGAGACTACCCACCCATTTCCTGGCTCACTGGGTGGGCACTTAGAGCCAGTGACCTGCTTACCTTAATGTTCTCATTGTACGTGTCACAGTAAGGGACGGCTTGAAATCGAAAGTCTTGGTAGCTTATTTCTGTGGTCAGGTGATGGACAACTTTCTGCACCTCTTCCACCATCTGCGAAATCCACTGGCGCCTCAAGTCCACCTGCATGTGAAGGGATCACAAAGGTGGTTATACCTGGATCAGGCCCTGGGGAAGGGATGAGACAGGGCTTGGTGATGGGGACCAAAGCAGTCAGCTCAGAAAATCCTGCCTACCCAAGAACTCCAGGAGAGATGAACTCACATCTGATAATACTCACTGGTGCCTCAGTGTTCTCTTCTGAAATAGAAGAATTGCTCAATATTGATCTAGAACCTGCCACATGGTAGACGCCTGTCTAGGTCCTTGGCACGACAGTAGACAAAACAACAGCAAACAAGATAGAGATGCTTGCCCTCTAGTTGAAAATACAGGATACATGAATATATGTCTCTCTCTCTCTCTCTCTCTCTCTCTCTCTCTCTCTCTATATATATATATGTATATACACACACACACACAAACACACACATGCTTAATGTAAGATCACATATTATAAGTTCCAAGAAGAACAATAAAATAGGGGAAAGGACTAGAGAATAAAGGGGCTGCCATTTTAGGACCCCCTGGAGAAGGATATGGCAACTCACTCTAGTGTTCTTGCCTGGGAAATCCCATGGATGGAGGAGCCTGATGGGCTATAGTCCTATAAGGTCACAAAAGACTCAGACAGGACTCAGCGACTGAACAACAACAACTTTTTTTTTAAATTTTTTTTTTTTTTTACTCTTTGGCCATGCTGTCTGGCATGTGGATCTCATTCCCTGATCAGAGATCAAATCCGTGCCCCCTGCAATGGAAGTGTACAGTCTTAACCACTGAACCACGAGGAAAGTCCTGGGCTACTATTTTAGACTGGGTGGGCAGAGAAGGCTTTTGGAAGGAGGTGACATTGGAGTGAGCCCTGATGACCAATTCCAAGCAAATTGGAATTTGGAAAGCAAATTGGAAAGCAAATTCCAAGACCCCTAAAGCAGGAGTAAGCTCAGCAAGGGCTCAAGGGCCAGCAAGGAAGCTGCTGTCATTACAGGAAAAGAAGGACGGTGACGAAGACGAACTTGGAAGGGATGGTGGGGGCCAGGCTACCCCAGAGGGTTCTGTGAACTGGGGTAAGACTCGAAAATGGGATAAGAATACCTGCTTTCCAGGTTGGTGAATATGAAACAGTCTAATGCATGTGAACATGGGACAGCTTGCTTCCTGTATGTCATGAGTAAACAATGGTTCCCTTCTCCCCTGTGTTCACTTCCTCCTTTGGCTCCTAGACCCATAAGAAAAGGTGTGCAATGATGTTTCTTCTGACTCTGCACAGAAGGTCTCCAAGAACTGGAAGGGGCTCTTTGCTACTTTACTTGGGAGGCACCGAGAGGCTGATGTATGATAAGCATCTCCCGCACAGATGCTGGGGAGCATGTTTCTTGTCTGACCTTAAATATGATGATCAGGTCTATGTGCATGTGTGCTCGGTTTTTTTTGACTCTTTGCAATCCCATGGACTGTAGCCCGCCAGTTTCCTCCATCCATGGAATTTCCTAGGCAAGAATACTGGAGTGGGTTGCCACTTCCTTCTCCAGGAGATCTTCCTGACTCAGGGATCGAACTGGCATCTCTTGCATCTCCTGCATTGGCAGGGTGTTTCTTTACCACTATGCCACCTAAGAAGCCCTGATCAGGCCTATAATAGCTTCTAATTTCATCTTCTTGCCACAAGTAAGAAGTTGTGTTTGACTCCTTTGCAACCCCATGGACTATAGTCTGTAAGGCTCTGTACATTCCACACCTCTCTGTATGTTCTTCTCACGACATTCATCCACAGGAGAAGGGACCAAGGGTAGCTTTCTTGAGCATCTGTAAACTATCAAGATTCTGCATCTTCCAGAGTAAGCAGAAGAGAGAAGGTAGTCACAGAGAGGGGAAGGTCATTTGCCATGCCAAAAATGAAGGCAAATGCTTGTAGAAGCATAATCAAGGGTCCTTTCCAGTGTAGGACTTCTCTCACATGTTGGGATTCAATTCTATTAGACCAGTTTTTGCTGAACATCCACTTCATGCCAAGTTCTGTGCATACAACGTTGTCAAGAGGTTGACAGCAGACCCCTAAATTGGAAGTTAAAATTATAGCCATCTAGTCCTAAATACAGGCTTCCCAGGTGGTACAGTGGTAAAGAATCCACCTGCCAATGCAGGAGGTGCAAGAGACATTGCTTCAATCCCTGGGTCGGGAAGATCCCAGGAGTAGGAAATGGCAACTCGCTCCAGTATTCTTGCCTGGAAATTCCATGGATAGAGGAGAGCCTGGCAGACTGTAGTCCATGGGGTTTCAAAAGAGTCAGACACAACTGAGTGACAGCAGACATGCATGCACAGTACTAACGACAGGTCTGCACAGGACGCTGTGGGTAGGAGAATGGAAGCTGCATCTAGTTTTGAGGTCTTCCTGGAAGCCTGGTGCATCAGAGTTGTAACTTAAAAGGCTGGCAGCAGTTAGCTAGAAAGAGAAGGACATGAAGATTGTTCTAGAAAGAGAAAGCCTAACCTGAGGAACACAAGCAGAGAGACACAATCATTTCTACTTTGTTGGAGCAGACGTTACCTTGGAGGAGGATGGTGAGGTGGGAGAACAAACAGTGAGAAGTCTTGAAAGAAAAGGAAGAAGAATGTCAAAAGCAAGGTCAACAGTGAGTGGCTGAATGAGATAAGGTCCCCAGATGGCCATAGAGTTTGGTAACTAGAACCAGAGTGATGTGTTTGGGGAAAACAGTGGGTGTTAAGTCAGGGAGCAGTGGGTTTAGAGAGAATGTGAGATGAGTGAGTAAACTCAGAAGCAGGCGACTTCTCTGGGAAGCCTGGCCAAAGAAGGAAGAAACAAGAACAAGGACAGCAACACGTTTATTTCAAAAGGACGCACAGATTCCAACATGTTCAATGCTGGGAGGAAAAGAGCCAGTGGAAAAGGAAGAAGGCAGAGAGCAAAAAACCCCAAGCAGTGTTTCCCAGCCAGGAGGAGTCGTGGAAATCCAGAAACCTGGTGAGGACTGGCCTCGGTGTTTCAGAAGGGACGGAAGATGGATGCAAATGCAGATAAAGGCACAGAGTTCCTGCCTGACGCCTGTTTTCTTTATAGAGCAAGAGACAAGGCAGTGTGCTGACAGTGAGGTGAGAGGAGGAGGGCAGGGGGCTTCAGGGTAACAGACTTTGGCAGAAGCTTCTCTAACAGATGAGGGGCTGTTTGGGTCTTCAAAGGTTTGTGTAAAGTTTCCGGGCTTCCCAGGCGGTGCCAGTGCTAAAGAATCTGCCTGCCAACGCAGAGGATGCAAGCAATGTGGGTTTGTTCTCTGGGTTGGGACGATCCTCTGGAAAAGGAAATGGCAATCCACTCCAGTATTCTTGAAAACTCCATGGACAGAGGAGACTGGTGGGCTACAGACCATGGGGTGGCAAAGACTTGGACATGTCTGAGCACTCATGCATGCATGGTAGGTAGGCAAAGTTTCCAGGCAGTAGCAACACTCTGCTGTGGGTCCATGAGGCTGCAGATTACCAGTGGGCTGAGTTGTAAGAGGTTGTCCAGTAACTCTCAACTCTCCAGGGGTAACAGAAGAGAGGTTAAGATCAGAGTTTGCTGGGCTTCCCTGGTGGCTGAGTGGTAAAGAATTTGCCTGCCAATGCAGAAGACTCTAGTTCAATCAATCCCTGATCCAGGAAGATCCCACATGCCACAGAGCAACTAAGTCTGTACGCCACAACTACTGAGCCTACAGTCAAGAGCCTGGAAACCACTACTGACCCCACATGCCTCAAACACTGAAGTCCGTGCAGCCAGAGCCTGTGCTCCATGAGAGAAGCCACTGCAATGAGAAGCCCACACACCACAGTGAAGAGTAACCCCACAATTGGAGAAAAGCCTGCATAGCAACGAAGACCCGGCACGGTCAAAATAAACAAACAAATAAAAAGAAACATTAGAGTTTGCTGGCACCATCTGGAGAAGAGAGAGGAAAGGGGTCAGTGGTGGGCCATGTTTTCAAGCTTGGGCAGAGAACAGATGAAGTCAGTTTGAGAGATTAAGGGACATTGGACAAGTTCACCAGTCAGATGTCTGATGAGGAATAGCAGGAAAAAGTAATACAAGGGCTAACTGGATAGAAAACTGCCGTCAGAATGGTTGGGAAATAGTCATTTCAAATAGTTAAGGTCTCGGAATGTGTTAAGGACTAAGGCTAACTTGCCAGATCTTCCAACTCCATTGATGTGAGTCCACAGAACTTGAATGTTAGTAACATAAGAGTGACTCAAGAGGAAGGCTTCCACAGGTGGCTCAGAGGGGAAAGAATTTGCCTGCAACGCAGGAGACACAGGAGACGTGGGTTCAATCTATGGATCAGGAAGATCCCCCGGAGGAGGAAATAGCAGCCTACTCCAGTATATATCTGCATACATATTTTGTTTCTCATGTTAATAAACTAATGGAAGATTTACGACCATATTGACACTATTATATAATTTTTAATTGATAAAAACTTGAGAAAAAGTGTGTGTGTGTGTGTGTGTGTGTGTGTGTGTGTGCCTCTTGGAAACAGTTCTCCATTGGGAATCTCTTCTACAAATTATGCCACCTTTTGGTAGTAGAATTTTCTCACTGGCGAGGACAAGTTCAGACACTCCTTAGAAGACACCTATAATTTCTCACTCATTATTCCTCTAAACCAGCAGTCCTCAGCCTTTTTGACATGAGGGACCAGTTTCGTGGAAGACAATTTTTCCACAGACTTGGGGTGGAGAGGGGATGGTTTTGGGATAATTCAAGCACACTACATTATGGTACACTTTATTTCTATTATTGTTACATCAGCTCCACCTCAGCTCATTAGGCATTAGGTCCCACAGGTGGCAGACCCCTGGTCTAAACCACAACCCAGAACCCCCAGGTTGTTTCCCTTCGCTTTCCTGACCATGGCTTAGCGAGGTATAACAAGAAGAGTCTAATTCAGGGTGCAGAAAAGCAGGGAATGGGGCTGGAAGCAGCTTTACAGGGAGCAATCTCGGTGAAAGAAGGGGGCTCCACCACAAGTAGAGACCTGTTGCTAGCCCAACCTCAGAATCCCTTCTGTAGCTCTCAAACTTCAGGAAGCAAGCTAAGATACCAATTGCAACCTTGATGCAGCCTTGTCATTACATTTATTTCATGGCAAAGCTTTGAAGCAAACTGAAGATGGATCAAAGCTCATTCAGTCCAAACTTTTTTTTTTCCCTTTGTGCACCACACAGCTTGCAGGATTTCCCTGACCAGGGATTGGCCCCCAGCAGTGAAAGCGCCAAGTCCAAACTACTGAGCTGCCAGGGAATTCCCCTATTCAATCCGAATTTGACCTCAGGTGCCTGTTTAAGTTTCATTCACTTTCTCTGCTGATTAGGTCAATGCACAAAAGTAGAAACATTTTTTTTTTTTCTAGAGAGAAACTTTTTTTTTCCCCCCTAAAGAGAGCATTGGTCGGTGCAACAGAGCAAAAACAAAAATGAATTATAATAATTTAACCAGGACCAAGATGCTAGATGTATGTGGTTAGATTATCTAGTTCAACTCCTGCATTGCACTGACCGGAAAAGTTATGCTACACTCATCAGCATGCAGATTCAATCACTCTAAGCAGAGTTTACACAGAAGCAGTCCTCAGAGACTGTTGGCACTTTCAAGATTTGGCCATCCATTTCCTGTAGGTCTCTCACCCTCCAGGGTATGTCTACATGCCCACAAGAGTGTCCACCTCCCCAGGTGCAACGTCAGGCCTGTTGTTGTCCCACATCATTTGCTGCAATTAATAGCTCAAGTCTGTGAACAATTTACTGTTTCAAATATAAATAATTGCCAACTCAAATGTATTCCTTAAAATAACATCAATCTGACTCACTTGTATTCCCGTATACTTTCCTGAAGGAGGTAGGGGGTGTAAGAAATAGCGTGACAGGAATGCCACAGGGCTGGCCACACCCATGAGCAAGTGGCCAGTGCAAATGTCATCCACAATGAGTGCCGTTGGTGAAAAAAGGCTGAGAACTTCTTTCTAAACAACAGGAAGTCAGACTTTAAATTCTGGAATTGCCTTAGCTCCAATAATCAGTTTAAAAAAATGGTGGTGTGGGACTCCCCTGGTAGTCCAGTGATTAAGAATCTGCCTTCCGATGCAGTGGATGTGGGTTCAATTCCTGGTCAGGAAACTAAGATTCCATAAGTTTCAGGGCAACTAAACTCATGTGCCACACCTGGAGAAGCCTGTGCGCCACAACGAACTCTCAGAATAAAAAAAAAAAAAAAAATAGTGGTGGTCATGGGACAGACACTGTTTCTATCTTTCAGGGGTTAATAATATAAAGGACTGTAGACTTAAATACAGTGATCCATACAGAGAAGACAACATATTCCCTATCTTTTTAGACTAATTCTTCCATGACCCAAATGCTTGGAGCCCACAGGATATTTGCAATTCATATATATATAGCAGAAGCTAGAATAACAGCAGCCCTGCAGAGGCGAGGCTGATGAGGCTTTGCGGTGAAAGATACTTTATAAGGCTTAGCTCCTCGGAGGCTTGCCTGGTGGCTCAGACATAAAGAATCTGCCTGCAGTGCAAGAGACCCAGGTTCGATCCCTGGGTCAGGAAGATCCCCTGGAGGAGGAATTGGCAACCGACTCCAGTATTCTTGCCTGGGAAGTCCCATAGACAAAGGAGTCTGGAGGGCCTCAGTCCATGGAGTTACAGAGTTGGACACATCTGAGTGACTAACACACACACACACATACACATACAGATCCTTAGAGCCTCTGGATAATCCTTTAAGGTGGACGCTCTGATAATCCTCATTTTTACAGAGGAGAAAACAAGTTCAGAAAGTGTAAGTAATTTACCCAAGGCCTGGGAGTCAGCAAGTCACAGGAATCCATACCCAGGCAGTGTCCTTGTTCACAACCACTGCACCACTCTGCTTCCCCAAGGGCAAGGCGACTGGGAATGAAACCCACGCTAACGGCTTGAATGGGGTTCCCTGAGCTGGAAGTCCTCTCCGCTTGTTAAAACTCGACTCATTAAGCATGTGCTGCTAAGATTTTGTCTTCACTCTGTGAAAAACCTCTTCCATCAGAGCTCGCAGTGCTCTCTTCGCCTCCAGCACCCTGTTCAAATCTCTATGTAGCACTTGTGATGTTAAACGTTTGCCTGTCTGCATGGGGAACGTCCTCCTTTTAGCTTTGGGCTTATGTGCAAATTCTGCAGGTGAGACAGGGCCACCCTTAAAGACACCCAGACACAAAACGTCTCTCGCACTGAGCAGGCCATACCCGGATCTGTGTTTTGAGCACTGTGTTTTGTGTTGTGTGTGTTTATGGTGATATAGAGGGTTTAGCAGAGGAAATGTAATTTGGTACATAACAGAGTAGGTTGAAACCTCAGCACCTTCATTAACTCTGTGACTTGGGATGCGTTTAATTCACACGAGCCTCTGCTCCTTTCTATAAAAATGAAGGTCATATGCATGTATCATATGGTTGTTGCTTAAATGACACTGTAGGGCCTCAACCTGCCAGCACCTTTAACACTCATCTCACATTATCTTCAACGAGGCCTGAAGATACTTCTAACCACATACATGCAATGATCCTATGTGAATGTCAAGAGGGAATAAAGATATCCAAGGCACTGCTCTTCCTTCTGGAAACTTATCCAGAATAAAATAATATAGTTAAGTCACCACCAAGATAACAATAGGAAAGATGTCAGGAGCTAAGATATAATTGATGGCCAAATAAATATTATCAGTGATGATTATGATGGGAAGTCATAGAAAGGCACAAATGTTTTGTGTTGGGGTGTCAGGTTAATCTTTCATGAGAAGGTGGACTCAGAGCTGAGTTTGAAGGATGAATATGAGCCAGAAAAATGAAAAAGAGGGGGATGTCTCCCTGAGTGGTGGAGGGAGAGCTTCAGCCTGAGACCTTTTCAGGGCACAGTTCTTATAGGACAGGACTGTCAGACCCAACCACCTATAGGGGCAGAATAGTAGACACACGCAGAAGAGGGAAGACTGGGGAGAGGGACTGTCAGACTCAGCAGTGCCAACAGCCTCCAGTGGGACAGACACTCAACTCCAGTCCATGGCTGCCAGGCAAGAAACTAGGACCTAGTTTCAACACCTGCATTGCACTGACTAGAAAAGTTTTGCCACAGATAGTCTGATTTTTTTTTTTTTATTCCAGAGAGGAAGGAAATATGGATTTCTATGCAAAATCTCACTATTTGGAAATGCTTGTCACAAAATTGAAAAATTTGAAAAATTCTCTGTGGGCCAAAGAAAACACATGCACAGGCTGGAGTCAACACAGAGAGCTTTTGTTTAGAATTTCTGTGATTGAAGATGCAGGGAAGCAGAGGGTAGAAAGATAAAGTATTATTTGAATGCCAGGCTAAAATATTTGAACTTTTTTCTTTCAGAAAACACAGGACCATGGGGAAATGCCAGGTTACACACTTTCTCCAAAGGGAGAAATCACTTTGTTTGCTGTAATTTTTATTATCATAAATTTTCCCTATTTATCTCTCTTAATGGATTTGGCTAAGAAATCAATTTGATTTGTCACTATAATAATGAATTCTACTTTGTTAACTTATAAAGGCATGAAAACACTAGACTAATCTCTAACTCTTAATGTTTTAGTTTAAAGGGTGGTGCTGTCTTAGCAGCTTCATCTGTAAACAGAAAGGTTTAAATTAGATAATATTTATGGTTTCTTCAAGTTCTAATATCCTAAGAGCCTATGACTCTACAGAGAAGACATCAAATTGGTTGTTAACCCATGTGTACTAAAAATATAGTCAATTCATTCAGTTGCTCAGCAGTGTCTGACTTTGCGACCCCATGGACTGTAGCATGCCAGGTTCCCTCTCCATCACCTTTATATTGTAATCTAGCAGTTTTATAGTTTTCAAAAAGCTGTCTTATTTACTCTTTTTCAAAGACCACCACTAAGATCCTATTATCCCCATTTAGAGAATGGGGATAATAATCCCCATCATTTATCTCCCATTTTAGAGAAAAATCTGAGGCTTAGACAGGTTAAGTGTTTTGTTCATGACCACCCAGACATCAGGCTTCCCAGGTGGCACTAGTAGTAAAGAACCTGTCTGCCAATACAGGAGACTAAGAGACAGGGTTCCATCCCTGGGTCGGGAAGATCCCCTGGAGGAGGGCATGGCAACCCACTCCAGTATTCTTGCCTGGAGAATCCCATGGACAGAGGAGCCTGGAGGGCTATAGTCCATGGGGTCACAGAGTGAGACACCGCTGAAGCGATTTAGCACACCTGCATGCACCCAGGCATCAGTGGGGAGCCGGAGTTCCAGCCAAGCTGTAACTCTCTGTTCCACATTATATACCCAACATACCTCTTGCACTGGAATCTCAAAGACAGGACTGAAATGTGGTAAATCCCTGAACATTCTTATGGGTGATGGTCTTGGGGCATTTTCTATGTCTTTGGAAACAGCCTGAAATCCTTTCTGCATCAAGGTTGGTGGGGTAGGAGGAGTGGGAGAGAGCATGTGGGAGAGACTGGTATTTGACCTTACCTTATTCAACAGGCAGTCTTCTAAGTAGCCTTCCATCCGGGATTTCATGGCTTCCTGGTCAATTCTGAGCAGAACGGCAGCGTCTCGGTTTGTCTATCAGTGGAGACCGCGCTTGTGCGTGGCTTTCCCAGTGATGTTAATCTCTGGGGGCTGAATTTCTCTGGGAATGTGTGTGTGGACCAGAGACTTACCTTCTCAATTCTTCATTCAAGTTCTTATTTCCAAATTGTGAGCATCCATCTTTTATCTTTGGGGAAATAAAAATCAGAAAAGAATTGAAGAAGGAGAGTTGATGAAATTGAACTGGAGTCCAACCTAATTTTACTCTATTCAGCTCTACTGACATATGCTTTGACCGAAGGGCAATTTTCCAAGTTGTATTTTCCACTCAAATACTCAAAACTTCCATTCAAGATAGAAATGCCTGTAGGTGGCTCCTTCCCAACTGTTTATGCTCTTATCCTGACACTAGATGCATCTGTGAGCTCAGTATCTTATATCTCCTTGTTCTAATCCTGTTGACAGTAAATAGTTTCCTTGCTCCCCCATCCAGAAAATCCTGCAGATGAATCTACCTTCTTTACAATAAACAAATAGGAAACTGCCAAACAACCAGCGGCACCCGTCATTATGTCTACAAATAAGTGATCAAGACACAACAATTTGCACGTGGAAATGCACACACACAGGTATGGACATACACAGACACAAACACAGAGGTACACGCACACAAACGCACCCAGGAACGGCAGGACAAGAATCCTTCTGCTCACCTGCTGGACTTCCCCCCCGAAAGCTAGCAGTAAAAATACAGACAGTGTAAACAGGTCCCTCAGGAGTTGAGGAAACACTCACATCTGATTTTGCCAGCAAAACCATGTTGGAAAACAGCTCAGGCAGCAAATTCCCAATCTGGCTGGCTGAGGCTAGTTTTATTACAGAAAAAAAAAAAAATCGAAATGGCTTGATCTCTGAACTCGGTAAACATCAGAGTCAGCTATTGGATGATCTAAAGAAATTACAGTGCTTCTGGGAGCTCAGCTCTATTTGGAGCAATGTTCCAAAGGCGAGTGTCTTTCCAAACCCACCTCTGAGTGCTGTCTCTGAGTGCTCAGCGGCCACGCTGGGTGCCTGGGCCACTGTGTTCTGTAACCACAGCATTTGCATATATTTCCTGAACTTGGCATCATCTGAAAGCCACACCAGAGCTCGGGCTGCTCGGCAGGTGCTCCACCCACCTCACTAATCCCAGTGTTCTGTCCAGCTTCTACAGCTCACCTCTGGGAACCTGTGTGTGTGTGCGTGCATGCTACGTCTATTCAGTCGGGTCCAACTCTTTGTGACCCCATGGACTGTAGCCCACCAGATTCTTCCGTCCATGGGATTCTCCAGGCATGAATACTGGAGTGGGCTGCCATGCCCTCCTCCAGGGATCTTCCCAACCCAGGGTTGGAACAGTTGTCTCTTGGTCTCCTGTATTGGCAGACAGTATCTTTAGCACTCGGGCCACCTGGGAAGCCCTGGGAGGGAACCTGTATGCTAATATATTAATATTAATACATCTGGTAAAGCCATCACTCCTCAATATTGCCTCGATTTTTCATTTTCTTCTATTTGTAATTTTAAATCTCCTGCTTTTGATGGCAAGTGCTCCCAAATATTTCTGAATCTTCTTCCTTTGCCTTCTCTTACCATTGGCTAGTTGCTCCAAACTATCAGTTTATCACAGGAGGAACAAGAGCCTCTCCCTCTGAGCTTCTTGCAATTCTGAGTTCTCTTTCCAATTCATTTTCAACTTCACCAAAGTCATCCTGCTTTTCCCAGGTATTTTTGCTTTTTCCTTTCTGCTGCTTCACTGTAATTATTAACATGGGAATCCCTTTCCTCTGTTGGGGCCTTTCCTACTAGTCTAAGGTTACTCCAGATGCCTGTCATCAGATGCACAAACTTTCATCCTTTTGTGCTTGAGGTGGTCCTACCTACTGCGATTGCTTCCGTCCTCCAGCTGAAAGTAGCATTCTTCTCTCACGCTAGGGTCCAGTGACACTGGCCTGAAGTGAGCAGTGAAAGCAATGAACAGGGCCAAGTGAGAAGCTTGGAAGAAGAAGGAGCACGTACAGGGTGACTTATTAGACTCTAATTTTACCTGGATGCTGTACCCAGGAAACAGAGAGTTATATATAAACACAGCCAGTTCCCTGCTTTGTGATTCGGTTCCTTACGGGCAAAGGTTCTGAAATACAGGGCAGATCCACAAACACAGACTCTCTGAGAGGTTGGCAAAGACAAGCTTTTTTGGTTGATAGAGATCTCTGGCTAATTGGATATGGGATCAGCAAATATTTATTGAACAACAGACTGCCTGAGGCATTGTGCTGTGTCACCGAGAGGGACTCACTGCGGACTCAGATTCTCCTCCTTCTTCAGGAAACAAATATCCTCATTTCCCATGACTCACATCAAATGCAAGAATGAACATGTAGACCAGTGTTGGCTCAATTTCAGGTGTGAGGACCAAGAAGTCATCCTCTAAAGGCAGTTTAACAAGGTACTAGAACCCTCTACCATCAATATGAGAAGCCCTGGGAGGATCATGTCACCTGGTTCACCAGCAAAGCTGTTTGCTACAGATTTAGCCTCAGTGGCCAGGACTTTCATACCCAAAAGTGAAAGGGTTGGCTTGATCCAAATCAATCTTAAATATACAAATCTGTTAAAGTTCACCAAGGTTACGAATTCTGACTTATTCTTTCAAAGAGCTCTTTTAATCCTGGGGTGACTCAAACATGACAGCTCAGAGGACCAAACAGAGATAATTGTTTAAGCTGTTAGGAAGCTCCCAACAATGAACAGCAAGGCAGGGGCTCTGCCTGTTCTGTGTCAGCTGGGTAGCCCGGTACCTAACACATAACTGACCCTCGACACCTAGTGGTGAATATTTTGTTGCATTAAATGCTAAAGGGAACATTCTAATAAATAAAATAACTTTGAGATGCATAAAACAGCAATGATGACCTGTTACAAAATAGTATATACTCAGTGGTATACTATATACTATATATATACACTATATACCTGTTACAAAATAGTATATACTCAGTGATTCCAGATTAGGCTAGAGGAAAGAAAAGGAAACTGTCTAGGCCTGTGTCCATCTGTTTATGTGTCCATCCATTTATATATCTGTGCACTGGGATGCCATTCTGACTCTTTCTCATTCAAAAGGCCCAGTGTTGAAAGGCAATCCAGAAACTTATTTTGAACAGAGACCAACTGTTGATGTAATAAAACTCTCCCTATGACTTGGATGATATTGTATTTTCAAGTTAAATAGTAAGGTATTTCCATGTTCATATCTCTCTGCCTGGTAAACAGAGTTATATTTTCATCTGAAACTTTTCCTTAAGTCAGGGTGCTTACTCCCTTGCCTCTGCTCAAAGTCATACGAGGCTGGCATATTTTTCAGTTGACATCACCAGAAAAACACTGGGAGTGGAGGAAAACTTTAAGGAAGAAGACATTTGGTTTCATTACTTTGCTAACCCATGAAACTAACTGGTTCACCTCAGTTTCTGTGATACCTAAGTGAGGATGTGGCAGGAAATAGATGACAGGAGAAATTAATTATTCCTAATTCTTGGGTACACGGGGGACTGCTTTTCCTCCGAGCCTCTTTGCTCATGACACATGACAAGTTTGTCTGTTTTTAGTTAAAGGAAACCCAAACAGAAGATAAAGACATAGAGATCAATAGAACAAAATAGAAATTCCAGAAACTGACTCACACAAACATAGTCATTTGATCTTTGATAAAAATGTAAACACAGTTCAGTGGAGGGAAGATATTTCTTTTCACTAATGTGTGTTTGACCAGTTGGTCATCAATAGGAAAAGAAATAAGCCTTGATATAAAGTTCATACCTTACATAAAGATTAACTCAAAATGGATCATAGGTCTAAATGAAAAGCATAAACTAAATCCTTGTGATCTGGAGTTAGGCCAAGAGTTCTTAGGAATGACACCAAATAGATTATCTATGTAAAAAAATTGATAAATTAGACTTCATAAATTTCCTTTTGTTCTTCCAAAGATATTGTCATGAGAATGAAGAGACAAGATATGGACTAGAAGGATATATTTGAAAACTACATACCCAACAAAGGACTTGTATCCAGAATATGTAAAGCACTCTCAAATCCAATGACAAGAGAACAGCACAACTTAAGAAAAAGTAAAGGACTTGAATAGACATTTCACAAAGAGGGTATAAAGACGGCAAATAAAAATGTGAAAAAGACAGCATTAGAGAAATGTAAATTAAAAACATGGATACAATTATTTACATATTTATTTGAACAACTAAAATGAAAAAGTGCTGTCAATACCTAATGCTGACAAGTATTTGAAGCAACTGAAACTCTCATACATTTCTGATGGGAATGTAAATTGGTTGGGTAATTTCTTATGAAGTTATAAATACATATTTGACCCCCAGCAATTCCACTCCTAGGTATATATATCCTAGAGAAATGAAAACTTGGTTTACACAAAAACATGTGCATGAATATTCACAGCACTGTTATTTGTGTTAGCCAAAATGTGGACCCCACCCCAAACCTTTTCAAGAGGTGAACTGATCAACTGTGGTACATCCATACCATAGAATAATATACAACAATAAAAAGGAACAAACTATTGATACCCACAACTTGGATCAATCTTAAATACACTGTGCTGAGTGAGAAAACCCAATTTCAAAATTTACACATTGTATGATTCCTTTAATTTAGCTTCCTGCAATGCAGGAGACCTGGGTTCAATCCCTAGGAAGATCCCTTGGAAGATCCCTTGGAGAAGGGAATGGCTACCCACTCCAGTATTGTTGCCTGGAGAATCCCAATGGACAGAGGAACCTGGCAGGCTACAGTCTATAGGGTGGCAAAGAGTCAGACACGACTGAGCTACTAAAACTTTCACTTTTCATTAATTTGGCATTCTCAAAAATTCTTGAAAAAAGATCAGGTTATACTGGTGGAAAACAAATTAGTGTTTGCCAGGGGTTTGAGGTGAGGTGAGGGCATGACTATCAACAGATGCTATGAGAGAGCTTTTAGGGATGGTCTGTTCTGTGTTCTGATTTTGGTGGGGTTTTCATTAATCTGTACATATGTTAAAATCCTAGAACTTTTCAATAGAAAGAAAGTGTTACTATAGATAATTTTTAAAATAAAGAAACCTAAGGATAT